GTAAGTTTTTGTTAAATTATATATTTTTTCAGAATGTGAAAAAACAAATTCAAATAGGATGTTAGAAACAAATACGATGTTATTTAAATTCCTCGGAGTTATTTTACTTAATTATTTACTTGGTTATTTTTGAAATGCTTTATATTTAACATTTAATTTTAACTTTGTTATCTTTGGTGCTGAAAATTTGTGTTGTGTGAAGTTATCATATAATACTTCATAGCAATTTTTGTATATAATACTCCATAGCAATTTTTGTATATAAAACTCCATAGCAAATTTTGTATATAATATTTGTTGTTATGCTTTTTTTTGTTACACCTGATGATTGCTATTGCGTGAAACCTTTAGTTATGTAATTAAATATATCTTACTAATTATTTAATTTTTACTTTATTATTTGCTCTACCCAATTATTTCTTATAACAATAATTATATATATATATATATATATATATATATTTTATGATTATTTTTTTATGAGTATATATATATATATATATATATATATATAATATATATATATATATATATATATATATATATATATATATATATATTAGGGTGGGGCAAAACATAACAAATTTTCAATTAGGGTCTGAAACAAATGAAAATCAGTGCTTTATATGAAATTAATTATTACACAAAAAACTAATTTATAATATACATCATCGTTTTCTAGCAACTTAGTCTGCAAGTTATCGCACTTTTGAGCCTTGTTCGCATGTAGGTTTTCATCTCTAGTTCCACATCTTCGTAAGAAAATAAAGCAAGTAACCAACATGGCATGCATTACAAATATCAAGCATACAAATGTTAAGTATAAGCATCTTACTTATGGTAGGAAATCAGCTTTAGTTTTTAAAATAGGCTTTTAAAAAGTCTATTCTCAATTTCTTCATTTGAATGATAACACCATGGCGTGAATCATCTCTGTAAACTTTACCGCAGACCGCCGATATATCTTTGATATTTCTCTCAACATCTTGCGAATGGCATGGAAACTTAGGTAGAATAACTTTTGAATGATTAACAATTGTTTCTGACAATGTGATGTCATCCAGAAGTTGAGGTGAAGCAAAAATGGCCTTGTTCCAGTCAATCATGTCTAAGTAGACTTGCACGTGAAGTTAATTTTGATCAAGCTTTTGTAAAAACAACAAATTCTATCATTGGAATGTTCACTACGAACATGCAGAATTTTTTCAAAAGCGAATTACCTGATACTTCCACCATCATCACCAACAGCTGCCACCAAGATGTTTTCTGGATGGCAAAAGTAGCTGTTGTTTTGCAATACTGGCGCAACAATCTCCTGATCAGGCTTGTCAAGTTTCTGGTAAAGTGACAACATGAAAAAGAAATTCTTGGCACCATCTTGGCATGTCAGATGAAATTTGATATGAAACCATGACCGTGCATAGAAGTTGTTCAGTATGAATGAAACAATACGTCGTAGATTATGGGAAGGACATTGTTCGCAAACATACAACCTCAACAAACCGTTGGCTTTAGTTAGCCATCTGGCATGACTGACTGCACCAGGTTGAGCAGTTTGCAAGTAGTCAATGTAATTGTTACTGGCGTTGTAACCACGTTGAATTAACAGACATATTTTAAGCAGGTACACCTAATCTGTACTCAGGTCACTCATTACGGTCTCATCAACCTCAGCAATGCAACCTGATACAGGAGAGAAATTAATTATAGGTTTATGTTGAGGATCAAATTCCATCACGCCTGCTAATTGTCCTTTGGAAGTTCTTGGACCAGTAGATTTCCCATCAATAACTTCCATCAGTTTTCTCAAAGGCAATTCATTTGTATGCAGCATACAAACTAACCATTGAAGTGGTCTTTGTAGATATTGTTCAATTTTTCGGACTATGCCATTACTTTTTCCTACATTAACATTGATTTCGCAAACGAGTGCTATTAAAGTTGTTTCTGATGTAGTACTTATAACAGTTGATAAAATTTCTTTTGAGATGTTGTCAGATCTGCTTGATGCTGGAACAACATGTTCGACAACAGTTTCGGTTTGGGAATGAAACCAAAGCATAATGTTCTTCTTTTAACTTACATCGAGTGGATCCTACACATGTAAGAGTAACATAAATCTTACCATCAAAACCAAGACAAACAATTTCTTGATTTTCCTCTGCATGACTCACAACTGACTTCTTCCGATATGCAGATCTTTGAAGGCGTAGTTTGCTGGGATGTATAGCATTTTCAGGGAAAAAAAATCCGAGATCTTTCAAGGCAGAATTCACAATTAAACAGGCATCTCAATTGCTACATTTAGAGCGATCAATAGCTTTACACAGTTCTGGATAATGATTTCTGTTTTGTGCACATCTGCTGCCATCACTATCACTGGTCTCCTCGTATGTTATATTTGAATCGTCTATGGAGCTACCACTAGTGTTTTGACTCTTTTCCATTTCAACATTATCAAAATCTTGAAAAGTAGAAGTGCATTCAACGGTTTTCAATTTCGTTTCATCTAGGAACATAGCCACTTTCCTTTTTTTTTTCTGACTTCTGCAGTTTACCTGTCACCACTGGATCGATATTTCCAATCACCATTTTTCTGGTAGTGTTTTGGTCAACCCAGAAGTTACACTCAATAAAAGGAATCTTTCTGTCGACTGGACATTTACAATCTGCTCTATTTGCAATTCCAGCACTAACGCACTTACATGGACAAATGTCAAACAAATTGCTGAAACTTGACAATATCTTTTGATATGTCTCAGAAGTTCCCTTTGTATCATGATATTTTCATAGATCATTTCCTTTGTCTATTAGCCATTTCACCTTTTTCATTACGCTATCGAACACAATTGTAGGTATGCTAGCTGTGTTATAGATCTCAATCAAGTCTGTCGCAACAGTACTCACAATGTCATTAAAGGATTGGCACTGCTGTTTCTGGTGAAAACAATATGTACAGAAAATGTCTTCACATGTCGGTGGCATATTTTTTTTCAGTTCCTTTGGAAAATCGAACACTAAGTGTCGACTTGTACTTCTTGTGCTACAGCTAGCCATATCTAACTTACTACTGCCAAGTTGCAACACAAATTAGATCCAAATTTTCAACATCTACAAAACAAATGATATCTAAACTAACATTAATTAATTCTACCTACAGGTCTCAATACATACAAGTCATTAATTAGCCATTCAGAATCACAAATAATACAAAACATAATATTGTACCATGGTAAATATTTGAAAATTCGATCAAAGTTACGACCCCTAGACATGGTACTAAAAATTAAAAACAGCAATTTTCTTGATAAGTTGATGGGGGAGCATCAATTTACTATTGTCTGCATGAGGCAACCAAAATTTGCCCACCCTAATATATATATATATATATATATATATATATATATATATATATATATATATATATATATATATATATGTATATATATATATATATATATATATATATATATATATATATATATATATATATATATATATATATATATAGCAAAGTATATAATATATATAAAGCTTAAGAAAAAGTTTAGTTAAAACTTATTTTTTGTTAATTTCGTGTCACAAAAAATATGTAATATCTGCAAGTGAATAAACTAATAATAAACTTGATAAAACAAATTTCAAAAGAACTGAGAGATTTTTATAATTCAAAAAAGAAGATGCTTTCTCTTTGAAGATTCAAAGAGAAAGCAGAGCAAGAGAACTATAAAGCAAAGTAGAGAATTATAATTAATCAGTAAGCAAATATGAGAAAAATTCAGTTTGAAATATGTTTGAGTATTTATCTTTTCTGTCAAAAAAAAATCAGAAAAGATAAACACTCAACAAAGTCAATTATGACTTAAATGCAATAATGACTTATTTGATGATTAGGGTATCAAACATGTATTTTTGCAGTAGTGTACAGTCGATTTTTAGATTTTTGAATTTTGACACTTACAGGCATTGTGCAAACTCCAAACTTTTGTATGTTGATGTTTATGTCAAATGAGAATGTTTTGCAAAGAGTTGCGGTGATTGGAGCTTGGGGACAAAAAAACCCTAGTTTTTAGGCCCACTCAGCCCTTAACGTGGGAGTAACAAGTTTATAAAATGATTTTCTTAGTATTTTTATCTAAGTTTATATTCATCAACAAATTTTAAATTTCATGCAATAATCTCTTAGGGTTCAGTTCTTATGACCGTACAAAGTTTACAGCCCTTCAAATTGAGGGGGGGGGGGGGTTTAAAACTTTATATGGTCATAATGTTTGAAATATAAGAGATTATTGCATGAAATTTGAAGTTTGTTGATGAATATAAACTTAGATAAAAACACTAAAGAAAATATTTTATAAAAGTGTTGCTCCCACGTTATAGGCTGGGTGGGCCCAAAAATTGGGTTTTTTTGTCTCCAAGCTCCAATCACTACAACTCTTTGCAAAACATTCTCATTTGACATAAGCATCAACATACAAAAGTTTGGAGTTTGCACTATGTCTGTAAGTGTCAAAATTCAAATATCTAAAAATCGACTGTACACCACCGTTTTGACAAGAGATGTTAGCCACTTTTTTAATGTTTAATCATTATTGGTCAAGAGGGTTATGATATTTTTGCAACCTCATATGACCATGATCCTGTAAGGTAAGTTTTGGTATAAAAATACTAAATAAATACTAAATAAAATTCATTTATGATTTCATTTCAAAAACTTCACCCAGGAACAAAAAATTATTTTGGAAATAATGCAAAATAGTAAAATTTAGAAAAATTTTAATTTAACAAAATACAACCACTTGTTTGATAAAATAAATTTCAAGTTGATTTTTTCACCACTTTTATACTTTATTTCTTACATCATTTTAATTGCTCTTTTGGCTTCTTTGTGTTTGAATTACCGTATTCTTTCTATTCCAATGTTTCCTAAAAATTGAATTTTCTTTATAAAAATCATCACTGAACCAAAATCAAACCAAGTTCCACATATCAGTTCACAA